TTGATTTACATATTTTCCTCCATTTGGATCCATAATTTAGACTTATAGATCTGTCACAATCTCTCAGTTCTTCTGGAGAGCTCAAGCAGTATCAGAAACCATGTGGGGGCCAGGCACGGTGGCTCACGCCTGTAATTCCAGCACTTTGGGAGGCCAAGGTGGGTGGATCACCTGAGGTCAGGAGTTCCAGACCAGCCTGGCCAACATGGTGAAACCCCATCTCTACTTAAAATACAAAGATTAGCTGGGCATGGTGGTGGGCACCTATAATCCCAGCTACTCAGGGGGCTGAGGCAGGAGAATCGCTTGAACCTGGGAGGTGGAGGTTGCTGTGAGCTGAGATCATGCCATTGCACTCCAGCCTGGGCAACAGAGTGAGACTCCATCTCAAAAAAAGAAAAACAACAAAACCATATGAGAATTGTGTTTCTTCAGATTTCTTTGGGTTCAAGTGACCCTCCACTTCCCTATCCATATTCTTAGGAATGTTGCACATAACAGAAACCAATTCAAACTAGCTTAAGCAAAATTTAAAAAGACATGAGCATGGATATTTATTAGAAGGATATTGTGGAGGCCTATAGCACAGAATCCAAAGGCAAGAAAGCAATCAGTGCTCAAGAAAGGACTGGGAGCCGAAACTAGAATGTCCTCAGAAACGCTCCTCCCCTCATCTCTGTTTCCTGTATTCGTATTCATATTTGCTAATATTGCTGCCAATGCGTCTCTCTCCTTAGCCCGTTGGGCAAGTGGAATAAGATAACCACATCAGAATTTCACATTTTAAGTCATAGGTCTGTTTTCTATGTTATTAAAGAAATAGCTGGATGTGGTGGCTTTTGTCTGTAATCCCAGCACTTTGGGAGGCTGAGACAGGAGGATTGCTTGAGCCCAAGAGTTGAGACCACCCTGGGCAACATGGCAAGACCCCATCTCTACAAAATTAAAAATTAGCTGGGCATAGTGGTGCACACCTGTGGTCCCAGCTACCTGAAAGACTGAGGTGGGAGAATCACTTGAGCCCAGGAGGTCAAGGCTGCAGTGAGCCATGTTTGCACCACTGCACCCCAGCCTGGGTGACAACAAGACCTTGTCTCAAAAATAAATAAATAAATAAATAAATAAATAAATAAATAGTTTGTGCCTTATATTTAAGATTCAGGAATAAAGTTTGAATTTTTCACCTTGATGTCATTAAGAGAAAAACATATTATTATATAAATAAACTTACATTACTGTACATAATGCAACATTAAGAACTGCTTAGTAAGTTTACTTGTGAATATTATATATCAACTAACACAAGTTTTTTTTTTTTTTTTTTGAGACGGAGTCTCGCTCTGTCACCCAGGCTGGAGTACAGTGGCCGGATCTCAGCTCACTGCAAGCTCCGCCTCCCGGGTTCAAGTGATTCTCCTGTCTCAGCCTCCCGAGTAGCTGGGACTACAGGCGCCCGCCACCTCGCTCGGCTAGTTTTTTGTTTTATTTTTTAGTAGAGACGGGTTTCACCGTGTTAGCCAGGATGGTCTCGATCTCCTGACCTCGTGATCCGCCCATCTCGGCCTCCCAAAGTGCTGGGATTACAGGCTTGAGCCACCGCGCCCGGCTGCAACTAACACAATTTTGAGAATAACTTTCACACTACTATTTTATAACTTAGATAATAATCTGGAAGATGTTCCAAGCATTTGAAACAACTAAATGACAAAGGATCCTCGTTGTCTACAAAGAGAGAAGTAAAATGTCAAATGTGTGACAACAGAAGAATTTTTATCTTCTCCAAGTGAATAGTGATTTTTATGTTACCAATTTGGGTAAATATATTCACTTAGAAACTCTTTTTAACCTTTGTCTTAATAGCAAACAATAAAGTTCTTAATAAACATTCAACATTCTTAAAAGAAGAACTCCTAGATCTGATTTTATTTTTCCCTGTACTAAGAGAGGCTTAGACATCCCTCTTTAACTGCTTGTGTATGGTAGATGGTCGATGGTCTAGAAGCATGCATGAGACACCGGTAAGAGGGATTGCCTCTGGGCGTCACATGGGAGGGAAGACTTACTTTTCCCTGAATATCTGTTTATATGGCTTTGTTTTACTGTGTAACACTTACTTTCAAAATTCTTTAAGTTGTCTAAGCCCTAATGAAGAGACATGTAATGAATGATTGTGAACTGGACCCTTTTACTATAAAGGACATTATTGGGACAGGGGTGGAACTTAAATGGGGCCTGAGGATTTACTGGTAGTGATGTATTCATGTTAATTTCCTGATTTTGCGGACTGCATTTTGATTGTATGGGAGAATGTCCTTTTCTGAAGGAAATAAACACTAACCTGCCCAAGAGTATTGGGTCATTGTGTTGGTAGCTTACTGTCATATGGTTTAGAAATAAATAGATATATTTGGCTGGGTGCATTTTGGGAGGCCCAGGTAGGAGGACTGTTTGAGCCCCGGAGTTTGAGACCAGCCTGGGCAACATAGTGAGACCCTGTTTCTACAATAAAATTTTTTTTTAAATTAGCTGGGCATGGTGGCTTGCGCCTGTAGTTCCAACTACTTAGAACGCTGAGGTAGGAGAAAGACTTGAGCCCAGGAGATGGAGGCTGCATTGACCCATGATCGCACCACTGTACTATACTCCAGCCTGGGCAACAGAGCAAGACCTTGTCTCAAAAAAAAAAAAAAAAAGAATGAAAGAAGAAAAGGAGAAAAGAAAAAAAAAAATCAAATATATTTGTACTGTCTTGAAACTTTTCTGAAAGTTTGAGCTTTTTTTTTTCCAAAATTTTAAAACATTAAAATTATTTTTTAAATATTCTAAGCCCTAAATTTGCAGAGAGACCATGTGATTGCACAAAGTTAAGGCCCAGCTTATATCTGCTGCTCACCCCATTAGCTGTGATCAGTGGGAATCAGGAGGCAGTTCTCCGAATAGTTTCTAAAACAGAGAGATTAGGGAAGAGGCTCCAACAGATGTCTGTTGCACTAACAAGAAACTATATCACGGTTCACTGGTTTTATACTACTGGATTTTTTTTTTTTTTTTTTTTTGGTAACTGATCAGTATGTATTAACTTTGTTAATTCTCTCTTTTCCTCTTTGAGGAAGTGTGGGAGGGTGGGGGATTAGATACATGAAATGCAATGAGAATCCAAGACCAGCTAGAAAGAAGTGTCCAGGCTGTGGTCACGCTGATTGCCTTTGCTCACCTGGTGAAAATCCCATTCCAATGATTGCAGATGGCATTTTATCATATTCTCTGCCCTGGACAAGAACTAACCTTGACTATTAACATTGACAATGGAACATTTTGGAACATTACAGAAATGGGAAAGCCATAAAGTTTTCTTCCTTAATTCATAGTACTTGGGCAGCCATAAGTTATGCTTTCTTCTGTCACCCCCACCCCTTACATTTTCTCTGAGGGTTCCCTTCTCATCTCCCTGGGAGTGTTGGACAATGCTACATAGTGGGGACTTTCCTTCTCTCAACTTTTAAGGGAAACTTCAAGAAATCATAATCTTCACTTGACATGTTTCATCATCAATGAAATATTTTAAAATTGTCTGATATAATCAAGTGTGGCCACTTAAAACTACACAAGAAATTTCCCTTTCAAGATGGAAAGATCCAAATATGTTCCAAAGTGTTCCTTTCCCTCAATTTATCATCAATGTGGAAGTTTTTCAGGCAGTCTTTGGCATTTCAGTATGTTTTCTTCACTCTCAGAGGGAAGGCACAAGAAGGAAAGAAGTGGGTACTTTAGTACCTTCATCGTGATCAAGTCTCTTTGACAAGCCAGCAAGGTAGTCAGTAGTCTTGGTTGCTCTGTTTCTGCTCCTCCATCTTTTGGGCACATGGAAGTCAATGTTCCCATACACTTACATGTGGCCACGTGCTTTCTTTGGTCAATGAAATAAGTACAGGGAGAAGAAAGTACATCACTTCCACATAGAAATGCAAAGAACCAATATAGAATTCACTACATTCTCTTCCTCACTACATTCTCTTCCTCTTTTCCAGGGTCACTCCCAAGGTAGCCAAATGAACACCCAACTGACATTGTTCACATAGCATAAGTAAAAAGATAAACCTTGTTTTAAGCCATTGACACTGGAAGTCATTTGTTTCTGCAGCATAACCTAGCCCATTCTATCTGATACAGACACCTCATTCTCCATCTGGGCTCAGTTTCCTCATGCTGGCCTTTTATGCATATCAACAGGGAAGAAGTTCTCTTCTCTGAGAACTCAGTGTTAAAAATGATGTATTATTTGTTATGATTGTTTACATGAATTTTTTTGTGATGATCCACTTGTGAGATATCTGCCACTATCGTATCAGATTTACCCTCCTTTTGAGACGACTTTGCTTGTGACTCAGAGAAGGGCTATATTATACTATGGTAGGCAGATACTGGGATATGTTCCACAGTGCCAAGACATTGCAGTACAGTATCCAAAGGTTTGAAAAATATGACTTTGACTGTGCTAGCAGTACACTTTAAGAGGCAAGACAAATAATGGGGTCCCCACAGTGACTCGCATGTAGGAACTAGCATAATGGCTAACTGTATCCCAGATCTGCCATTTACTAGTAATAAGTGATTTGGAACCAGTGATTTAGCTCTTTTAGACCTGATTTTCCAACTTTAATATGGTGATACTAACAGTACCTATGTCGTGGAGCAGTTTTAAGGATTGAATGAAATATTTAAGCTTATTATTACTATTACACTTCAGAAAATATTCTCAATGCCTTCCCTTCCCCAACAACTCATTTCATTTTGACATAAGGTTGGCAAGAAAGGACAACAGAAGACTGTCTAAAGGATGCCTGGATTCCTTGTTATCTCAGGACTCTAAATACTCTAACAGCTGTCCAGTGTTGGTGATTCGACACCTGAAATCTAGGACGACCAGTCATGGACGTGTGGGCGCGACTGCCGCTGTGTACAGCGCAGCCATCCTGGAGTACCTCACCGCAGAGGGCTTGCTTGAGCTTCAGCAGAATTCGAAATGGCTGGCGGTAAGGCTGGAAAGGACTCCGGAAAGGCCAAGACAAAGGCGGTTTCCCGCTCGCAGAGAGCCGGCTTGCAGTTCCCAGTGGGCCGTATTCATCGACACCTGAAATCTAGGACGACCAGTCATGGACGTGTGGGCGCGACTGCCGCTGTGTACAGCGCAGCCATCGCCAGGCCATTACCTGGGTACCTCACACCCAGGGCAGAGGTAATACTTGAACTGGCAGGGAAAATGCATCAAAAGACTAAGGTAAAGCGTATTACCGCCCTACGTCACTTGAACTTGCTATTCGTGGGAGATGAAGAATTTGGATTCGCTCATCAAAGGCTACATTGCTGGTGTGGTGTCAATTCCACACATCTTCCACAAAATCTCTATTGGGAAGAAAGGGACAACAAGAAGACTGTCTAACGGATGCCTGGATTCCTTGATTTTCTCAGAGACTCCTAAAATACTCTAACAGACTGTCCAGTGTTATGGTGTTCCAGTGGACTAGTATCTCTGGAAAAAACACACAATTTTGGCCTTCTTTGGTAATATCTATTTGAAGCAATTGGAAGTTTATAATTAGGCTTTCCAACCAACCAAATTTCTGCATTCGAGTCTTAACCAATATTTAAGTGTTACTGTGGTTCAAAGAAGACTATGATTCCGAAGTAGTGGGGTTTTGAATTTAGTTGACTGTTTTTTAAAAAAACTGTTTTGGATTATTAATGTGATGCAGAAGTTATAGTGATAACAAAACTTTTTGGGTTTTGTAACAAGGACATTAACACTTTCCAACTCATGGCGTGAGATAAGCTCAATTAAAGGTCATATCCAACTAAACTAAAAAAAAAAAAAAAAAAAAAAGAAAAGTAGTGAAAATGTTGGCCCAAACTCAATTTTAAAGGTCCATAACTCCAGTATTGGTATTGAATGGTCAAATAAGAGGAAAAAGGAGAAACTTCTTTACATTTTAAGATCTAGGACTAGTAGTTAAGGACAGTCTACACATATCATGGCCAAAGGCCTCCAACAACATAGAGATGAGTATTTTGGAAGCGTGTCACAGGTAGGAGTTCGCTAGTCTTAGGTGTCACCCAATCTGGCGGTAAGATTACGGAGGATCAGAAGGACAGATATGCCATTGACCTGGAAGGGCTTGGCAAGACTTGCTGTGATGCTGTTCGAGACCTTTCTGTCTGTCCACTACTGAAAGTGTGGTGGAAGATGCTTGTCTCCTCCTGTTATCCTCTTTCGAGATAAGCTGACCCCATCCTAACCTTGTCAAAAGCTCTCATTGTCTGGACTCATTTCATGGCTTGCAAGTAAATGAAA